GATTACAAGCCTTCAACTAAACCTCTTTTTGCAAATTTGAAAATTCTTGATGTTTTTAGTATCTACTCTCTCCAAGTAAGTTCTTTCATGTTCTTATATCATAATTTATCCTCGGAGACCCAGGGGCAGTCAGTCGGGCCGGTTAAAAGGCGCCACGAAAGTTTTCAAGCATGGGCGGAAGAGCCCCTGGGTACCGACTCTCACCGGACCATTTCCAAACGGCCAAGAGAATGCTGGTTCCTGATTGGGCACAAAAAATGCTTTGTATTATTGTGCCCAATCGGCGAACAGCATCTCTTGAGTTCTTTTCGTGAGTTCGTACACGACGGCTATTATCTCGCCACAGTTGCCCGGTTCGTTCACCAAGCTTTCCTAACCAGAAACGAAGGAACTACCGATCAGTCGAAAAACGTTTCGGATGCTGTCAGCAGGAGCAATTTAATTTGCACTGAGAAAATTCTGTTTCTGACGGATCACAATGTATCGTAAATAGTAGGAAGTTTAAGATGAAGCGGCGACGAGAAAGTAAAAAAAGCAATGGCTTGACAAGGCAAAGCAACAACTTTGCACGTGCATCGCGCTTTTTTGTATATTTCTTTGCCGTCACTGCACGACTACCACGTGAAAATGACTAATTTCACGTTTGGGAAGAACGTAAACAAGCAATGACAAAATTTTCTTTCTCTTTATGAACTTGGATATGGTTGATAGAAATTCAGCTCCAGAAGAGTTCGCTTGCATTTGACAAAGTAAGTGAGTTGTAATAATCACGATAGAGACTGAAAAAACGTGCGTTCACTCTTCATGCGACGTTTTCGTGGTTGTCAGCTATCCTGGCATATTAACACCCTTATATTTACGAAGGCGTGATCGATGCAAGCGTGAATACCTGTTGTAAGCTCAAGCTTGTATTTTTGGAAAAGCGTCTTTACTTTTCGTGTAGACAGTGGTTGTCTTTACTCTAGGCTGTTAAGTAAGACTTAAGAGCTGCTAAGTTTTAGTTAACTAAAAATGCGTGTGTGAAGGCCTAAGCAAAATCTCAAGTAACTTTACTTTGCATCTCATTAAAACCGACTTAGCGAACTTGCGGATTCCAAGCCCGGGTGAGAAAGGCGTTGCGTGGGAAAACCTGAAGAAAAAAGATAGGTTGTGTGTGAAGCTTTCTTTTACTTGAAGAATTTAAAATTTACTTGTCTTGAAATATTTCTTAGCTTATTTAGGCTCTAGTGTAAAGACTACCAGTATTTCATTTGAAACGTATCGTTTATATCAAACCGTAAGATTCCTGACTGCATGCATTTCTTTGGTGCATGAAACAGTCAAGCCGTGATCGAATCAATAGCCGTCATGTACGAACTCACGAAAAGAACTCAGGAGATGCTGTTCGCCGATTGGGCACAATAATACAAAGCATTTTTTGTGCCTAATCAGGAGCCAGCATTCGCTTGACCGTTTGGAAATGGTCCGGTGAGAGTCGGCACCCAGGGGCTTTTCCGTCTGCGCTTCAAAACTTTTGTCGCGCCCGACATAATGATGCTTTACCTATTTCTTTTACTCAAATCTTTCAAACTGGAAGTAAGATTCATCAATATTTAACCAGATATTTAGACTGTTACCGACCTCATACCTGTAGAACAAATATTTTCAATCCTGTTTCAAGGACCTAGAATAAGGAATTCTTTACCGAGCAACATCAAAAACGCCCCAAACTTTTAATGTAGTTAAGCGCGTGATAAAACCATTTTTAACGGCCAGACAGGATGCAGCCTAAATACCTAATTACTACATATCTATATTTTTTCTCTAAACATATTTATATCCTTACACACGTCTTTTTTCTTTTATTTTTAAATACTGTCTAGTATTTAAATTGCCGGTGGGGGAAATCTCTATTCGTCATAAACTCGTTGGCTCCTCGGAGATTTCGCCGCCTCGGTCACTTCTTCCCAGCTGTAAACCTTTTTTGATTTAAGGTTATGTACCTATTTATAATGTTTTTTATTCTACTTGTTGTAATTTATTCTGTGTGGCAAAATAATAAAATAAACTAGGGTATCTAAAAGATAGTAATGCTGCGGCACATTTTGTGGATACTGACATTAGTTAGGCAGTGATCCATCTGCTTGCGTCAGCTACGCCCCCACAAACAGTTTCAAATTATTTTCGTATGACTGTAAATCCAAATTCAAATCCAACGACTATCAATTGATCCAATAATAGGGTGTGTAATCAGTAAAATGTGTATGTTAGTTCATCGTTTGTTATAATCAGACGTTGTTTTACTGCCCAGCACCTGCTTTCAGCATTATAACTACACTTTGTAAACTCTAGTCTTATAAGAGCTATATTTTCCGCATGTTGCAAATGCTTAAATAACCCTGGCATGTTCTCGTTGTTTCTATCGAAACTCGTATCCAGGACAATTTTGCACACCTGCGACCGACAAACGTTAATGAAGCAGTAAGAGGGCCGCGTTATTAACCTAATAAGTGTCCCCAGTGTAGATAATAATCGCTTTAATACTCAGTTCTGACCTGTCATCAAAAAAGATCATGACGGTAGTAATAAGTTTTTATCTTGAAAATGACAACTATCAGACATTATTATTCATTCAAAACATTTCTCTGATTCTGATTGACTAAAATCACACGCATATTTAATCATAACCAGCTATTGTCTACCTAATATGGAAGAATTTTGCCATATGAAACTGATGACGTCAGCTACGTGTGTGCCTTCATTTATCGATATATTGCTTACACAAGTTTCTAAACCTAAAAAATAGTTTATCTTTGTTTAATGAACATTAACGTTCCCTATTACCGGGAATTCCCCACCTTTATTTAGCAAATGTGTCCTTTTCGTCTATAACAAATTGTGTTTACCAATAAAATGTTGAAAACACGCCATTTCGCAAAATAGTAATTTTAGCGAAATTACTACTTTTCGAAAAAGGTAAAAATCCGTCATTATTCGTTAGCTATTGCTTCCAAACACATTGTCAATGTTGTCTCAAAATGTGTTTAGGATTTTCATTTCCTTCTCAATACATTTCGTTTCGTTTCGTTTCGCAGAATAGAATAAGCCTTTGTAACACAAATGAAGTTTCTCGCCTTCTGAGAAATCTAAATCCTCCGTCGGGGGGTAATCCCCTATGTAAGCCATATAGGTACGTGCTGCCCCAAAGGTTAGGGTTTTTGCGCACGTTTTGGTCTGAAAAAGGGTATAGACTTTGCCTATTTTGGTCTGGAATCGGGTATGCTTTTGAAGGAAACTATGCGAGCTTACGAACGTATTTATTGTTTCAATTCCAAGTAAGTAAGAAAGAAAGAGAAATAACCCAATTCGAAATGGATTTTAAGAAATCTACGTAATGATGACATAATTTCTTAGAGGCCAGGTCTGAGAATGGGTATGGATTTTAGAGGCCAGGTCCGAAAACGGGTGTGAAAAATGACATTTTTTGGTCTGAAATAGGGTCAGGATTTGGAGAACCGGGCGGCACACCTCCACCAAGAATTCCCAGAACCTGACCACCTCCCGCCGCGTGTATTGAAAAAATGCGCGATTGAAATCGCTCCGAACTTTTGTTCACTTCTTAACAGATCATTTTTTGCTGGCGAAGTACCAAACGAAGATAGTTAACACTGTTCCCGTCCTAGAGCGAACATGTTAACGTGACCGTTAACAAAGCTAACAAATTATTGGGTTTGGTTCACAGAACAGTAAGTTCGTCGAATCCCGGCGCGTTCTCTACGTTATACAAATCTCTTGTGCACCCGTTTCTTGAATACGCTGCTCCGGCCTGGAATTCATATTTGGCTAAGACTGTGCTAACGTTAGAAAAAGTTGAGCGAAGAGCCTTTCGGCTTGCAAAAACGTGGGGAGATGGAACACGAAGTTCGTTTAAGGAAGCTAAAGTGGTCTACACTCGAAAAATGTAGATTTTTTCTTCGGTTTAGTTGAATGCTAAAAGATCGTTTTTGGCATGAACTCAACAAACTAACATTTGCCGATCTTTGTCAATTTATCAAGTGTAACTCAACCCGCGCTAACCACTCGTATAAGCTATATGTTAAGCAAGCAAACTGTAATCCATATAAATATTCTTTTCCTATCCGAATCGTGCTGGACTGGAATAGTCTACCGGGATCTATTGTAGAGGCTCGGAGCCTAAGCCGTTTTAAGAATGCACTGAAGTGCTTCCTAGATATCCATTAGTTGTTTTTGTTTTTCATCTATTGTTATTATTAATCATGTAAAGTTCTCGTAATTCCTTAACGGAACTTTTTGTCAAAACATTTTTTTCTTAAGCTTATCATAGCTGATGTCGTTAATGACGTTCTAGCTTCTGACAGGTGTTGACAAAAAAGTTGATCAAAATGATTTATGTTCTTTCTAGTAGAAAACAACTACAGTAAACCCGCATATAAGAACCCACTTTTTTGAAGTCTGGTAAAATAGGTTCTTGTATTTTGTGGTACTTCTTGGCAATTCAGGTTCAGTAGGTTCTTCATTTTTATAAAGAAGATGATAAATTGCTGATTAACAGAAAAAAAAAAATACATCAGCGGGTTCGATCCTTAAAAATACAGCATTTATTCACAATTGTACTATAACCCTAACAAAACTGATTACCAAATTTATATACAGTTTGGAATATTATGTGCCAGTTATACTTAAATTTTCGATCTCAAAGTTACATTCCTTGATTAAATTGTTTATCACAATAACCACACATATAAGAAACTGCTTGATCTTGCTCGGCCAAACAGGTTCTTGCATTTTGGGTATTAAATTGGCAAATTTCCGCCAAGAGGTTCTTAATCCAAAGGTTCTTGCATGCGGGTGTTTACCGTAATTCGACAAACGACACTCTATACTTACTTGTGTTGACCTTTTGCTTCAAATAAATGTAGGACAGACGACATCACCACAGGAAGATCATCGGACTCTCCACTATGGCCAATGCTGTACAAAGATAAACCCACACAAGAAATAGTCACTGTTTTGTTCACCTTGAGGGCCTCAGAAAGATACTGGGCACCAACGTCGGAAATTCTGTTTCGTTCCAAATCCAAATTAGTCACCGTGTTATTTACTTTGAGAGCCTCAGAAATATACTGGGCACCAACGTCGGAAATCGTGTTCCCTCTCAAATCCAAATAAGTCACTGTGTTATTAACTTTGAGAGCCTCAGAAAGATACTGGGCACCAACGTCGGAAATTTTGTTCAAACTCAAATTCAAATTAGTCACTGTCTTATTAACTTTGAGAGCCTCAGAAAGATTCTGGGCACCAACGTCAAAAATGCTGTTTCGTTCCAAATCCAAATTAGTCACCGTGTTATTAACTTTGAGAGCCTCAGAAAGATACTGGGCACCAACGTCGGAAATTCTGTTCAAACTCAAATTCAAATTAGTCACTGTGTTATTAACTTTGAGAGCCTCAGAAAGATACTGGGCACCAACGTCGGAAATGCTGTTTCCTCCCAAATCCAAATTAGTCACTGTGTTATTAACTTTGAGAGCCTCAGAAAGATACTGGGCACCAACGTCGGAGATTCTGTTCCAACTCAAATTCAAATTAGTCACTGTCTTATTAACTTTGAGAGCCTCAGAAAGATACTGGGCACCAACGTCGGAAATGCTGTTTCCTTCCAAATCCAAATTAGTCACTGTGTTATTAACTTTGAGAGCCTCAGAAAGATACTGGGCACCAACGTCGGAAATGCTGTTTCGTTCCAAATCCAAATTAGTCACTGTGTTATTTACTTTGAGAGCCTCAGAAAGATACTGGGCACCAACGTCGGAAATGCTGTTTCCTTCCAAATCCAAATTAGTCACTGTGTTATTTACTTTGAGAGCCTCAGAAAGATACTGGGCACCAGCGTCGGAAATGCTGTTTCGTTCCAAATCCAAATTAGTCACTGTGTTATTAACTTTGAGAGCCTCAGAAAGATACTGGGCACCAACGTCGGAGATGCTGTTCCAGCTCATATTCAAATTAGTCACTGTCTTATTAACTTTGAGAGCCTCAGAAAGATACTGGGCACCAACGTCGGAGATGCTGTTCCAGCTCACATTCAAATTAGTCACTGTGTTATTAACTTTGAGAGCCTCAGAAAGATACTGGGCACCAACGTCGGAAATTCTGTTCCAACTCAAATTCAAATTAGTCACTGTCTTATTAACTTTGAGAGCCTCAGGAAGATACTGGGCACCAACGTCGGAAATGCTGTTTCCTTTCAAATCCAAATTAGTCACCGTGTTATTCACTTTGAGAGCCTCAAAAAGGTACTGAGCACCAACGTAGGAAATGCTCTTCCCACTCAAATCCAAATTAGACAGTGTGTTATTAAATTTGAGAGCCTCACAAATGTTTTGAACATGATGATCGCCGATGCTGCCGGCGCCATTGGCTTTGAGTGGTTCACAAAAATCATCAGGATCATGGAAACAACTGGGAAGGAGGCGTACACCAGTATCTGCAAAAGTTAGTAATTTCATCGAAATGCTTCACAAACTTTTACAAAGAACAAATAACCTATAGTATGTTTATGACATAATGAATGACAAAACAGTGACAACTTTAAGAACTGTGGATCGGTGGTATATGAACAACTTAGAGAAGTGCCCCAGCACCGCTTGATTCTGGTTTGCATTTATCAATGCAAAAAACGAGTTTTAGTTTTAACTTTGTAAACGTTTTCCTCTAGCCTTTTTTACAGCTACATGAATCTACTGACAAGGATACAAAACAAATTAATGCTAGAATCATTGCAAGCAGCCCAAACTTTTTGTACCAGTTCGTGTTTTGAAATCAAAGGCTCCTTGGAGAGAGCTCATGGATGAATGAATCGTAAACGAGCATGGGTGCTAAATACCACTGCCCTTGAATTTCGTCATTGAGTTTCGTTATTATTGACAACCGAATATTGAAGATTATCATCTCTGTGTTTATAGTAACTAGAAGGCTTGAGAGACATTCCATTTTGAAATTCATTTGTTTTAAACTGCTTACATGGGCACTGTAACATATTCACTTTTCTCCTTGTTCTTTTTTTAATATCTCATGACTTTCTCTGTGTGTTGGTTGCTTGATAGATAATGTTTACATTTCTTTGGCATTGATTTTTGATATGCGTTTTTTGGCATACGTATATTTAGCATTTGGTTTTTGGCATCTACTTTTTGGCATACAGTGTTTTAAAAAGCATTTCGTCAGCATTTCTTCGCCGGGTAACTTTTTGGCATCTCTATAGCACTCACGCTTTTAAGGCAGTTAGATCCTTGCCCGAAGCTGAACGTGTTCTGGCCTCACGAATTCAAACCCGACACAGTCGAAGTATCCGATTACATGTGCACCTTAATATATAGATTTAGACAGGGCTAAAAGCGAAGCTCCCATTAATAAATTTATAATTTAAGTCAAACAATAAAATTGTAATCCACAAATCAGTTAACCTAAGAGCAAATCTAAAGTGACTTTTGAGGAAAAGGCTAAGTGATTTTAGAGTGAAACATCTTACATCGAGATGATAGCCTTACATGTACACCCAAAAAATAGCAATCATCTTCGATCACATTCAAGAGCCACAATGGCTCTTGATCACAGTAGATTAGGCCTGGAAAACAAACTCTTGGAAAACAAATCAGACCGAATATTTTGCTTTCGACAAGTTTACTTTACAAAAACTCTTGCCAACAAATCTAGGGGTGTGTAAACCAACCTTTTATACTTTTTATACATCACATCTGAGGTAAAACAGTACTAGTTATCATACAGACCTCGGACAGAATGCAGTATTTCACAATTTTTCAAGACAAGTTGCACTCAGTCAATATTCAGGACGATCAATCCTTGGCTTTTAGCGAAACCGTTCAAAAAATTTCCAAAATCAATTAATACGGCCTGCCGCTTCTCACTTTTGACGAGTGCCAAATTTGCACTGAACATTAATAGAGTTACGCTTCAACATAATAAAGAATTTATTAAGTTTATTTTTTTATTTAAGGGTTTTATAACGATGTGTAATCTTAAAAGACGTTTGATACGCGTAGCATTTTGAGTTAACTCCTGCAAGCGATGTTCATGAACGACTGAAAACAAACAGCACAGCGATTAAAATTGCAAGAGAGACTACTAACAATCAATAAAAGAAATATAATTCGGTGAAGCATTAACAGAGGCAACAATTTTCATTCATGAGACAACTATTAAAGTGTTTCTAAAAATCCTGCGTCTTAAAGCTTAAAGCTTAATAAGTTTATGTTTTAGGCCGGCTTCCCGGTGTTTGCTTTTCTCAAAGATGAACTCGAGGCAAGAGAATCGCTCAAAGTTTTCTTTCTACAGCCAAATTTATAACTAAATATTCTTCGGAACGTTTTCTTTCTATTTGCGTTGAAAAAATATATCTAAGGCTTTTTAAAGTTCTGTAAGGTTATATCAAACCTGATACTAGGTCAAATCATTGTCTCAAATCTTACAAACGTGCATAAATTTGCCTCATAAACTGTGTTCGACTACATGAAATTAGATGTAAAAAACAAACATCAAATACAATGATTACTCAAGCTTACCATTCGAAATGCTACGGAAGCCCAGGAGGGCCACATAGTGATTTCGTTTTCACGTTTCACTTTTCCATTTTTGTTTTTTTGCTTTTTGATTTTCACTTCGCCATTTAGCTTTTCGGTTGAGATTTCGGTTTCTATTTTTTTTTACTTGTCCATTTTAGTTTCTAACTTTTTTATTTTTACCAAACTAGTTAGTTTTACTTTTCAGTTTTTGTTTTTGCTTTTAAATTATATAATGAAAACCAAAACCAAAACCTAATTATAAACATTAACAAACGAAAACCAAAAAACCAAAAACGAAAACCGACAGAGTAGACCATCATGCTTTGCTGGACGATCAATATGGCGGATCAAGGTGTCCGTCCGGCGAAGTGCGGCTTTGTTGTCGATGTTAGCCCAAGTAAATTTTCTAATTTTACCTCCATTGATTACTCTAAATCATAAACTGTATTTCTTTGCAACGTACCTTTTAATTCTTCTATTTAAGCTATGGAAATCGCGTTAATCGACTAGATCAGCAGAAGGCTTGGATTGGAGGTACTAATGTGCTGTAAGCTACCGCACATTTGTTAAGCTTTTATTTACAATAGATCGTAATCGCTTAGACTGTGAATATAAGGGGGAATATATTCTTTGAGCATAATGGAACGATCAAAGTATGGGCAATAAGTTTTTAACACGTGTCTTGCGCGCTGGTGGAGCTCCGCTAATATTCTAGACACTTGTTATATATTCAGCATTTCTACTTAACGCAAAGATCACTTTTATACGATGGCCCAGGAGGGCACAGTCCAGTATTGGTTTTTGACAGTCCAGTTATGGTTTTACACAGTCCAGTTATGCTTTTACACAGTCCAGTTATGGTTTTACACAGTCCAGTTATGGTTTTACACAGTCTAGTTTTAGTTTTTACACAGTCCAGTTTTAATTTTTACACAGTCCAGCTTTATTTTTTTACACAGTCCAGTTTTATTTTTTTACACAGTCCAGTTTTATTTTTACACAGTCCAGTTTTAATTTTTACACAGTCCAGTTTTATTTTTTGTGTGGTTACCAGACCTCTCTCGCGCTACTGCAACACTTGTTATCTAACGGCAGCCATTTTGTATTTCCTTGCGACGATGGATTCAATCATCTTGCGGGCTGTTTGAGAGGAACTGAGACGTTCAAGTTCTAGTCGTCCAGAAGCTGCGTCTTCTACTAATCAAGATGATCAGGGGAGAAGTGAAAACGAATCAGATGCGGTTGGATCATCACGAACAGTGGGCCGAAGTTTTTAAAACGAAGACCTAAGACTTAAGACCCCTTGGACTAAAACGAAGACCCCTGTGGATTAAACTCTAAACACTTTGGATGTGTTTACGGTGATGATGACGTCAGTTTTGTTTAAATAAAAATTTTTCACATCATGTACATTCGTAGCCTTCCACGCAGGCGTTTTTGGGGGAGCTCGTTTTTCATTCCTCCCCATAAAAACGCCTACGTTGAACATTCGAGAAAGCTTTCGTAGTCTTGTGGTAACGTCCTTGGGTACATCGGAAGGTCTCTCGGGATCGAATCTTGCCAAACGGAAGTATGTTTTTCCTTTCCTTTTTTATTTCTTTCATTTTTATTTTGTTATGAGTCATTTTTTACAATAGAGGTCAGAATAAAGTAACAGGGATATAAATATAACCCGGTATGTATACGAATGAGCCTTGCTTGCATGAAACTCGAAATGTATACCTTTAGTCGAGTGATCTTCTGGATCGACAGCTTTTTTTCTATTGATGAGGTAAAAAGTAATAAAAAGAGCGCGAGGTTCCCCTCTTCTTGAATTCATCATTGCTAAATGTCTCGTTATTTCCTCCCTACGCCGGTTATTTTGTTTTATAAATGTATTGATCGATACAATTGTTCGACATTTTAGAACGCTAGCGCACGTGGTTATATTTTCTTAGCCGTCGATCGAAGAAAAGGTGGGTGATAGACTTCATTATTACAATTAAATAGCGCAGAGGAAATTCCACAACACTCCTAAATCGCCGTAAGAGTTTAATCCACAGGGGTCCTCGTTTAAGTCCAGAGGGTCTTCGTTTTAGTGCACGGGGTCTTAGGTCTTAGCCCGGCGGGGTACTCGATATATCCTTGGGTGTGGAGGTGCGGCCCGGCCCCTTATACCCTGACCCTGTTAAGACAAAAATCGCTGATTTTCCTACCCTGTTTAAGACAGAATTCCAATTTTCATACCCTGTTTAAGACATTCGTAGAACATACGCGCAGGCTGTTTATCGTCCACGAAAAGATACCCTGTTTAAGACAAAAATTGATAAAATCGATACCCTGATTACGTCAAAAAATGATAAAATCGATACCCTGTTTGAGACAAAAATCCCGAAAAAAATACCCTGGCTGGCCGCACGTCCCATTAAGCCCTTACAAGGGAGTACCCCCCCCCCCCCCTCTCCCCGGGTTCTTGGGTCTTCGTTTTAAAAACACCCCAAACGGCCCACTGTTCGTGATGAAAACGAACTTCGTGATGACCCAGCCGCATCTGATTCGTTTTCACTTCTTCCCTGATCATCTTGATTAGTAGAAGACGCAGTTTCTGGACGACTAGAACTTGAACGTCTCAGTTCCTCTCGAACAGCCTGCCTGATGATTGAATCCATCGTCGCAAGGAAATACAAATTGACTGCCGTTAGATAACAAGTGTTGCAGTAGCGCGAGAGAGGTCTGGTAACCACACAAAAAATAAAACTGGACTGTGTAAAAATTAAAACTGGACTGTGTAAAAATAAAACTGGACTGTGTAAAAAAATAAAACTGGACTGTGCAAAAATTAAAACTGGACTGTGTAAAAATAAAACTGGACTGTGTAAAAATTAAAACTGGACTGTGTAAAAACAAAACTGGACTGTGTAAAAAAATAAAACTGGACTGTGTAAAAAAATAAAACTGGACTGTGTAAAAATTAAAACTGGACTGTGTAAAAACTAAAACTAGACTGTGTAAAACCATAACTGGACTGTGTAAAACCATAACTGGACTGTCCAAAACCAATACTGGACTGTGACCCTCCTGGGCCATCGTACTTTTACTAACGCTTTTTAGTTGGAAAATAATTTGCTTTCTCATGTGAACGTCAACGTCGCTTCACAATTTGAGGACCGTTTTTTGCAGCTAAGGTTCTTTGGCTTATTCGCTGAACGAAATCCCATCGTCAGGATTCGATAGCTCTTCCACACTCCTGTCGGTCGCATCCTCTCCATATCAAGTAATATCGGGAACAAATGTGTACAATTCATCCAAATATACAACAATGATCCACGCTCAATTATTTCAACGTCCTTTAAACAATTCCAAGTCCATTTCTTGCAAATGATATTGTCAGTGTTATTTAGAATATTTCCATTTATACAAAACCCATCTTCGGCCGGCTAATCTTTTGTGTTGGGAAAAAATGTACGCCTTACTAGTACCCTCTAGAATATGCCAAATACATGCGTAAAAGGCACTTGGAACAAAAGTAATACTAAGTAAGGGAGATAAGAGTAAAGTGTTCAATCTGACTTTAATGAATAAATTTATGAGAATCGAGTGAGTGATTGATTGAGTGAGTGAGTGAGTGAGTGAGTGAGTGAGTGAGTGAGTGAGTGATCGAGTGCCTCTATAAAAGCTCATGGCACGACTACGTCATCCATGAGCTAAAAAGGATGTTTATTTGTTTGCTGGTATCATCTTTCACGCAGTCTCCTGCCTACCAAGGGAAGTACTGGTAAATTAACAAAACAATTTAAAATGTATACAGTCTGTGTATCAACTATTCATCTAAATATAACTTGCATTGAGCAACAGAAATAGAGGATATTACATGGTCGCTCGGAGATACAAAATTTCTCTTCGAGTGTTGACAAATCTTTCACTCGTTCGCTGCGCTAATGCTAAACACCAATGAAATACCAAACTATTTCACTTCAATAGTTTTTTTAGTGTGAAAGGCGCGATTTATTATGGAGCCATAGTAACGGAGATATTTTCACATGTGAAGATATCAAGTTTTCGCGCGAAAGCTCACCTGGTATTTCATTGGGGTTTATATAATACTTTTTCCGTAAGTCAGTAATGCAAACCCGAGACGAAGTCGATGATTTGTTAACATTCAAGAATTCTGTCGACAACTCGAATTATTTATATCAGACTATGTAAACACAGCAAAAAGGTTTGTATAATTGAAGTCCTCTCAAACAAAAAAGAAGCAAAACTTTTTATTACTCGCTCTGGTGAAAAGAGAATATTTTAGTACTACTTGCCAAGTGTTGTACACCTCTAGCGAAAAAAGGAAAACAAAAAACTTTGATACAGAATGAGCTAGAATGTTTGCCAAGATTTCAGCCATTAAAGGAATGGGTAAAAAATTGAACTTTAGTTTGAACCAACACTATGTATTACTACCTACACACAAATAACTGGTACACACAACGATAATAATCATCACTGTATTAACCATTTTCTTTCAAAAAAGTCATGTTTCCTTCTAAAACAGAATTGGAAGTGATTAATATTTTAAAATCGCTTTAAAAAGATAAATTATAAAATTTCAAAACAAACAGCATTAAATACCTTTATAATCCTTGAAAATGGATTCTGTGTAGACAGGTTTGTCAGCTGACTGATCCCTTGTTTCGCTGACATAAGGAAACCAAGGATTTATTTCCTTAGAAGACCTGCTGTAAGTCTCCTTTAAATCCTTGAGTGTTACTTCTTCAAAAGATCCATTGCGATTTTCTTTAATACCCTGACTCCTTTGCCTCTGAGCATACTGGCCCTGAGCATCTAAAACGGAACGATTTCTTTGTCTCTCAGCAGACTGGTTCTGAACTTTTCCAGCATCTGGACTATTCTTTTCCTCAGTAGACTGGCTCTGGGTTTCTCCAATAACCTGAGTCCTTTGTCCGTCAGTAGACTGATTCTGAGTTTGTTCAACATCCTCAGTTGTCACATACGTCCTCCGTGTTTCATCAACAATCTGAGTCATGTTTTCTGCATCGTCAGCAACGTACACTTGAGCGTTTTGAAGAGTTTGGGTTGTAGTTTCCCTCTCAAAAGACTGGATAAGGTCATCCACACGCTGGATGCTGCATTCCTGTTCAGATTGATTCTGCACATTCTCTTCAACACACAAGATCCTTGTTTCGTCGGCCGCTGGATATATGGGTGGAGATAAGACTTGCCTTTCTGCCACACTTTGATTGCTCTCTTAGTAGCCCGGGGAGAAATAGAAAAAGAACCAACAACAAAAAATGACACCAAGAACTCTATGTCATATGTTGCTACCAAAAATAAATGTAATAGTCACTATCACACTTATTATCATTAATAACACCATCAAATTGGGTGCTTTTACAAAATCATTAGCCTGGTAAAACATGTCAAACTTATTTATCGTTAATTTGTATCACAAACGTTTCCCCATAACTTTTCTCCACCCACCTGTATTATTCAAAAGAAAGTCTTTGCACGCCAGGTAGTCTTCTTCCAAAATAGTTGTCCTAAACTTCACAGACGTCAAGTGAAATCTCCTCTTTATATCATCTGTCAGTAAGCATTTTTCGGCAACTACATTCAAATAACCAGAACGGTAGTCTCGCCATAGTTGTTCAAGGATTTCTGGATTTTCACACTCCACTGATACTCGTAGCGAATTAACATGTTCCTTAGTTGGGTTTGGGTCATGAAGTAACCTTATTTTCTGCAGATAAGCCGGACATTCTTGAAGAGATCTGCCAATGTCTTCTTTGTTTGCTAATTCCTCAGCAAAGCTCTCTTGCTTTCTGTTCATATCCTGAGCACTTCCTCCTTCAATGTTTGGTATTTGATCTTTGCCTATGAGATCAGTGTTTGCTTGGTCAAGGCCGGAAAAGAAAAAAAGGGTTCTTTGCCATATCATAATTTGAAAAGGGCATTTTACAGGCTAATTAAGAAGAAGTTTTCGATTTATTATAGTTTAGCGGCTTGATATACTGAAATTGTCCAAAAATAAAGCACACACATCATAATACCTCCATTATAAGATTACACGTACACCTCGAGTGTATCCTACTGAATATTAGGGACCAAAAGCTAATAAGCTCTTTGATGAATAAGTTCTCTTTCGTTTTTTTTTTTTTTTAACTCGAATTCATACTATATTTGATGTAGCGTCTGTATATATTCTCAATTACTTCCTCAATGATTAAACCTTTTAATAGGCCGGGTTGAAATGCAAAATATTGTCTTTGCCAAATATGTACCGTGACGTTTCCAAAATTTAGAGTGACAAGTCATAAATCGGTATGATTCAAAGTTTCAAAGTCCCCATATTGCATTACTTGAACAATACCTGTTCTATTTTTAGTTTTATCGAGGATCACGCACCAAAGAGGGCAAGGTTGACAATGATTTACAAAGGCGCGATTGAAGGACTCATAAGAGTTAAAGCCTAAAAAAAATTCCTCGCCCCCTTAAGGAAAAAAAGGGAAAGTCTCCCAAAAACAGTTTCCTCCCCTCACTTCACAGACAACTATTACAAACGCCACCTCCTAATAATTCAAAGAACTGACTGTGTCTATTCCCATTATTAGCTTAGGTCATTAAGTGTTATTTCAAACTTACCATTCACTGAAAAGTGCAGTGTGACTTTTTCAGAGTCTACAGCAGATACACGGCTACGAGTTTCGCCAGCAGCTTGAGCGTAACAGTGATCTTGGAGCAAGTTAATTCCCTTTTTAGCCGACAGCTTTTGATAGCGTTCTGAATTATCTGAGACAAAAGGAAAATCTACACTGGATTTTTAGTCTTTATAGTAGAGTCGGACAAAAAGCTGACAAACATCTGACTAAAGGCTATCACTAAGGCAATCAAACTAATTGAAAGGAAGTCGAAACGACACCAACGAATCTACAACCGTGAGCTATATAATAGTCCCAATCTCAGTTAAATTAACTTCCAGTCCTCTTACAAGGCTATTTCCTGCTTAAGATACCATAGATCCAGAGCTCCGTTCTTATGACCATGCTCATGATTTGAAAAAGCTTCTCGGCAATTCGAGACTCGCTATCAGGAGTTATGTAAGAAACACAAATTCTGGCAGCCAGGGTATGCTTACGATGGATTAGGAGCGAATCATGTAGAAGAATGGAAGTCATTGTCAGTAGTAAATGAAGGTACCGCTGAAACTCCCCCATGTACAAACGGGTAGAGTTAGACTTTTTAAAAAACTAAAATGATAGTAAAAAAAAAACAATCTAAATTTATATTAGTGAAGTATACTCAAATCCAAAGTAAAGCACACCAAACACCAACTACGCAGAAAACGAAACTGCAAAAAGTAAAGACATTCCCTCGCAACAGTAGAAATCGCGCGCGGAATCATTAAAAAGTACAGCGCTTACTTAACAATCATGTCTTCTAAGTTTGAAATTGAGACACTGAAAATCGTTCTTACAAATTTTATGGTTATAATCAAAGGTATGTATTGAAATGTGTATGGTATTCGTTTATTGTTGTCTCACAAAATTTACTTTGTTATTGCTTGTTGAAGACCAGCAGTACGCAGTGGAAACGTCTCTATCAATACCAAAGTGATTGCAGTAAATCAAATGATAAACAAGCCCTGTCAAATTTATTCAGGTGCAAAGATCACAAAACAATGAATACTGGAATTGAGGTCAAACATTTCTTCTCTACTCCCTAAGATCAACCCAGTGCGGCAAGATTGATCCAACAACAAGGAGCACAGTTTCAGTATCGTCAATATTTTGGTTACAATGGAAAAAGCTCAAACTATTTAACGTTTCGCGCAGCTTCACAAGTTTTTAATGTAGTAACTAGGTTTTAGCTATTGGTTATTAGAAAATACCTGCATGGATTTCACTTGACACATCCGTTTCTTGAAAAACTTCCAGTTGGGTTAATTTCTGGCTCTGCGTAGGTGAACCTGCTAACATGAATTATGTAGGGTTATCAGCCGAAGCCGGCTAGCTTATCCAGCCCTGATCAAATTTGGAAGATTCGAGCAATATAACATTGATCCAATGGTATACTGCCAGCAGTATACAATAGCAACCTCGTTTCCAGGTTACAGCGCGGCAGCCGAAACATTCTGGCATTTTTTAACTCAGGAAAAAAGAAAAAAGAAAGAGTCCACGGCAATCCGAAATATGTTCATACTCTTTAAAAACTGTGCCCAGAAAGAGGCAAATGTTCGAAAGAAAGTCTACGCGGAGGTAAAGTTTCTTAAGAACCTAGAAATATTTGGAATGACTGATAAAACAAGAACCGAATTCGGCTTTCGCGGTATCTTATGTAGAATAATGCACGTAGATCTCGAAGGAAAACCCTCCTCGATCTGGGTAATTCTTCATCCATATGGGAGGCGAATTCAATAATTTACCATTGCCCCTTCTCTGGGGGTCGGGGGATTAAAAGACCTGTAACACAATAGTTTGACAACTTTTTGTACAACTTTTTCAGATAAGGGGGACCCACGGTCATCCAGACCCTGAGATAAGGGGGAAAGGCCGGTCTCAAAAAACATTTTTCGGCCCTTCGGGCCTCAGTTTGGTCTAATCACAAGGGACCGGGAAGTAGAAGACTATATTCTGATTAATCATATTTTGTTATTAGGTAAATATTATATCTACTGTAGGAAATTTCATAATAGAGTACCTTCAATTAGAGGTTTTATTGCTAGGGCAAGACGTGTCTTCAATATCGAGCTCCATATCTCCAGGGAGAAAAATATACTTCTCTTTCATTTTCAAAAGTGGGAGAAGCTAACTAATGCACTTAATAGTAGTTGATGCAAAGAGGTTCGTAAAAATGCCACTCTCTTCCTCAGCAGGCATCTCTGTTGTTGTCATTGTTGTTGTAATATATAGAGGATATTACACGATGGCGCGAAGATATGAATTTTATTTTCGAGTGGCAAAACAATATTTTACGAACGAGCGCAGCGAGTGAGTAAAATATTGTTTTTGCCACGAGAAAATAAAATTCATATCTTCAAGCCGCCGTGTAATGTTCTTTTTATTATATAGACAAAAAGACATCGATAAAATAATAGAGGGAAACTACCGAAATTACGTCATCGATAAACTCACGTGTGAGATTATGGAAAATAAACCACTCGGGTCCCGGATGTAGTTTTTATGAATTTTACGAGTGGTATACTTTCCAGTAAAACACTCGTGTCTATATAATAAACATATATATTTTTTGTTGTTATTGTTATCCTTTTTCTTTTTTCTTTTAGGTTAGTATCTATTCAAGTGGAATTGTATAATTTAATTTATTTAATTAATGTTTATTCTTAAATAACATTGTAAAACTTGTCTTTAATTTAATTCAATAAAAACTGTTAAAAAATAAATAAATAAAAAATAAGGGACCGGCCCCCTCCCCTGATTCCGTCACTGATACTAGTCTGCTCATTTGTTACATTTAAAACCTAAGGTAACTGTGATGAATTACCTCTTAGAAACCGTTTGCAAACCAAGTAATCTTCCTGTGAAATTGTTGTCTTCAACTTGACAAACTCTACATGTAGTCTCTTCTTGATGTCATCTGTCAAAAGGTATTCCTCGGCAACTGAATTTAGGTGACCAGAGCAGTAGTCCCTCCATAGCTCTTCAAGGATTTCAATAGTGCGACACTCCACAGTTATTTTCAAACTACCTTCAATTGCCTCCTTTACTTTAACTTGACGGACTCCTTCCAAATAGTAAAATAGGCACTTAGCCTTTTCTTTGTTTGGAATATCAGCTGCCATTGTGTCAAAAAATTGGTTTGCCATCTCCTTCATCAAAGACGTAAGATCTCCACGGTGATTATTTTGAAAGGTGGCACTGTCTAATTCAATCACCACAGGAACGGTACCTTTAACATAACCAAATTATTTGCTTGTTTAGATTTCCACATTTCACATGACAAATCACTTTTCGGTGATAAATTTACCCGAATCAAACATTAGGAGATATACGTTTCACTTGTTAAAAAAACCCCTCACCATTAGCTCAACAGTTTTTGTAAACGTGGCCTTCATAGCTGGTCATACGTTATACGATTTTGGTTTTTTTCTATTCTTCATCAGCCTAAATTGGATTTTACTACCCGATGGAACTATGAACTCAGTAGGAGATGATGAACAAATCTTCTCCTTCGCCGAAACTGCAGCAGTTAACTTTTCATCTGCCAAGACAAAAATATCTGCTTTCTTTGCGTATCCATACTTGTAGTTTTAGCCACAACATAAATCTTCTTGAATTATGAAGGGCAAGGTTAAAAGTCAGCGGCGCGACCAGGCTATTCGCGACCAGACACTATTCGCGCTTTGAAGCATTCACAAGGAATAGTTCTCAAGTCCCAGAAAGTTTGGCTATGACAATCTTAGTCATAATTTGTTGAAACAGTGCCGGAAAACATGAAATTAAGTACGTCAGTTTTGTCGGGTACACAGGAAACCAAATTGTGACACTCACGGGCATTTTTGTCTGATTTTTGGCAACATAGTTATTTTTACTAATTCGAGTACGCTGATTGCGAAATTCGTTGTTGCCAAGCTCAATGCTTGTGTTAAGGTGGAGTTTTGGAGCATTTCACTGTGACATCATTGTCTTTATAAGGAGTTTTCTTAACTTTCATAAATATATACTTTACAAATCCAGAAATTGTTTCAAATAGTGCTATGTATATTGTAAAAATTATTTCTGAAACGCTGTTTCTACGAATTTTGAGTTGTCACGTGACAGTTCACCACACCCTTTGATATAAAATTCACATACATTTAGTTATGGGTAAAATTGTGATATTTTTCGTGACAATTTTATGAATTAAATTGTATAAAAATAAGCCAGTCTTTCACAGCACGAATTCTTGGCATTTGTAAATTCTTCCCCCTTTTCCTTCGTCTAGATAAACTACAATATAGAGGAACTTCGAAATTCAAGTTAGTTCAAATCGTTGAGGATAGCCAGACTGCTTAAAATGTAGATGAATGGCGGCATCTAAAGAGAAACGGAGCTGCAGTGATGCCCTCAATTCAGACTCTGAGGAGGTATAGCTTTCCTGCACGTAGCGACGAGAGGTGTGCAAAAGCTGATTGAAGCTGTAAAGGCGCAGAAAATGTTTGTGGTGAACAAAATGCAGAGGCAGTTAAACGCGTAACAGATATAAAGGCTCATGATGGAAATATTTCTTATTCATGCTGTCTACAATGGCACAGGATCGTTATTTTGACTTTACGCACAAAGAGAAAATTGAGCGTTTGAAGGAAAAGCTATTAAATAGCCCGCCGCCCAAACGTAGGAAAAAGTGCGTGTGTTGACAACGAGGCGGCCTCCATGTCATAAAGAGGGCAAGAATCACGAAGTAATAGGAGAGGTGTCACACCTGTAAAGTGGAGTCTTCTCAACAATTAAAACCCCCGAGAACAGAGCACTCATATCCGTTACGGCATTTAATGGTAACAATTCAGTTCTTGCAATTGAATCATCATATCTGGATAATAAAATGAGATTCCACCTTGCTGGGGCCATCAATCTCACTGCTGCGAAGAGAAAGTACCACAAGAAGTGTCTGAGCGCTTATAAGTACCACACCTTCAAAAACGAGAAATCTTCTAAGATCGCTATGATTTTTATCTGTTCTGAGATCCACTATGCTGCAGATCGTAAGCAAATACTCCAGCTATCTGACGTATGGTTGAGGTATAACAAGCTAGCGCAAGAACCAGTACACAAATACCGAAGTCGTTTATCAGCAGGGCAACATCATTTAAAGAGAAGCTCATAAAAAAGTTGGAGACTTCTTAAAATTTGTCCAGAAACTGACGCTGGACGTTTCAGAGAGAGAACCACTACTTGCTTCGCGCAAATATAGCCATAAGATTATTGCAGACAGTTCCTACATGAGTAATGACGCTGCTATGATGACGAAATGCTCACAACGCCTCACTATAAGCCACAAGAAAACGATTTTTTGTCGTTGATTCATGTCGCGTTAAAACGTAGAAGGGAACTGATGGATACCCCGGGGCACCAGGGATTTGACGATTCCGAAGAGGCAGCGACAGCTCTGTGCCAGACAGCTTATACAATACCTTTTTTAAAACTTGCTGTTCGGGGGTCTAAAGCTTAAATAAAGCGCTGACAGTGATTGCAACGACCAAAACCATCACATTTGTGTCTTAAGCATTGCTCAAGGTATTGTGCACGCTGCTAGTGATGGAGCAGGTGTTCCATGGCAGTACCCTTTATCAGGCGATGCGTTCAAGGCTGTTAGTAGAACTGTTACACAAGGCGAGGCATATGCAGCTACAGGAAAATTCTCAAGTTGGACACCTCACTAGCGCAAGACCCATTCTTGTCTATAAATAAGGAGAACTACAACGTTGTCGCACCTAATCTAAACCCGCAAATTCACGAAGTTCACAGCTGATGACATTGGCAACAGCGATTCGTCACTAGATGGAACACCTTCCACGCAACATCGGCAGCTGCTTGGCAAAGAGGCCCAAGTAAAACAAAGCGTTAGGCAAGCTTGAGGTCTGCCGACAAAACTGACCACCCTTTCAAGTCGTGTACGCCAAAAGTGTCCCGGTATTTACAAAACCTAATGAGCTAAAGTGGTATACTGTTTTTATACTTCGTTTTGGCGTCAGGTTCTCATTGCGAAACCGTTGCTTCTGAAAGCAGATGAGACAGGCTAGACGCCAGCTGAAGCCATCGATTGGTCCCTGTCTTTATGACCCTTATTTCAATTCCAGGAGCTTGTTTTCATGCCGGTGCACCACTAGCGCCGCAACTTTTGCCCGTAGATGCAGAAATTCGCATTTCACGTGTACTGGGCAATGCGGATGCACGGAGGTCAATGCTTACTGCTGCATAAACCGATCCTAAAACGCTTTAATGCTTATGTAAAAACGAAATCAGTATTAGCTTAGTGTTTTTCAAGTGATTAGAAGATTGTTAACAAAATTTACAGTATTGACTAACAGTACGGACAGATTGAAACCTGAGAGTAAGCAGCTTTTATGACCGGAAAGTTGCTAAACAAACCAACGTTAATTAGGCGGTGGTGGAAAGAAATCAAAGGGCTTACTGGGCTGCGGTGTTCGGAAAGTTGGGTGCAGCAAATGCTTGGAGATCAATAAGAGTCCACTGAGGTGCTGGCTAACAGCTTTAACCTCTTTTTGGTCTTACTGCTGACTTTGTGCCGTTGCCTCAGATTATCCCTGGTTCATTTTTCCCGGTCCCTGAGCACCTGCTGGTTGACACACGTATGGTATACAAATCCCTGAGAGGCATTAAATCGAACAAGTCAGGGGGGCCTGATCCAATCCCGGGGAAAGTCTGGAAAGAGTTTGCTTTTGAACTTTCACCAGTCGTCACTAATATCTATAATGCCTCAATGGTACAAGGGTACGTCTCTGTACCTCTTAAGCAATCCGAAGTTTTCCCTGTACCAAAATGTTCGCCACCCAAAGTAGTTGAACAAGATCTTCGGCCTATTTCTCTCACGCCCCATATTGCAAAGGTCATGGAAGGGCTTACGCTGGATTCCCTCTTCAAGCAAGTCTGTAACAAGTTCGACAGCCACCAGTTTGCCCTGGCCGGGAAGTCCACAACCCACGCTCTTGTTTTCTTCCTCCAAGTCATCCTTGAGGCCCTTGACCTAGGTGACACTTATATGCACGCATCTTCTTTACTGATTTCAGTAAAGGTTTTGATTTAGTCGATCACAATATCCTTATCCAAGAAATGGAACTGCTGGACGTGCATGAGGCCACTATCAGATGGATCGGCTCGTTTTTAACGGACCGTTAACAAAGAGTGCGAATCGGTCAGGTTTATTCGCATCCAGTTACACCGAATGGGGGAATACCACAAGGAAAAAAACTCGCGCCATTGCTGTTCGTCATATTAGTGAACAATCTCTGTAGGGAGTAGAGATATAGGATTAAATACGTTGATGACACCTCGGTATTTGAATCTTTGCCTCGATGTTCGCCTAGCTACCTTCCATTTATCGCCGCAAATATTAACACCTACGCTTCCATGCGTAACATGCGGCTTAATGAGAAAAAATGTAAAGATATGGTTATCAACTTTTTGAAGTATCAACCAACTCTTATAACACCGATTCAGCTTAATGGTATAGTCATTGATAGAGTATCTAGTTACTCTTGGGGGTTATTATCTCTAATGACCTCTCTTGGAACGAACATTGTGACAGTATCCATAAAAAGCTATTAAGCGTTTCTTTGTGCTGCGGACCCTCAAGAGAGTTGGACTAGGCACTAACGATCTCGTGTTAGTCTACTAGTATTATTAGATCCATTGTTGAGTACGCCTCACCAGTTTGGGCTGCGATCCCTTTATATCTGGACGAGTTAATTGAGTCTGTACAGCGCAAAGCTCTCAAAATAATATTTGGCCGGGTAGGCTATAAGGAAGCCTTAGTCTTGGCCGGCCTGGAATTTCTTAGTAACAGGAGAGTCGGAGCTTGTAAGCGGTTTATGGCTACTGCGCGCCAAATGTCCCCCCTTAAGAACATCATCCCCTCCCCTGTCGCTATTGAGTGGGTCCAACTTCCAAGAGGTCAACAAGGTCATACCAGGAGAATTAATGACTTTGTAACTTATAAATTTCAGTCAATGTATGTAAATGGTTAATTGTATGTGACAATGACCTTCCCCAATAATTCAGTTATTCCTGCAAGTGGGTGAAATAAACAGAATATCTATCTATCTATCTATCCAATGTTCTGTTATGTTTAACTTGACGATTTTACATGAATTCAACGCAAGTCACCATCAAGAGGCCAAGAAAGACAAGAAAGACAAAGTGAATTGTGAAATTACTGAGATTCAACATTGTACAAGATAAACAAGAATTTGTACATGTATTCCCAAGTGTTACGTTTTTTCAACAAATTGTCAAATATACCCGTGATAAGGTGATTTTTCTATAATAGGGCGTGGTCATTTGTCACGTGATGGCTTGATAAAAAAACAAGCGACGTAAAATTAGTCAGAAATTCTTAGAATAAACTTTACAGTTTTTTAGTAACGCTTTACAAGAACTTTTGTCTGTATTAAACTTAGATTTGTTAAAGGAGAAAAAACGCCTTATTTTGGCATTGACGTCATAGTGAAATGCCCAAAACTCCACCTTAACACAAGAATTGAACTTGGCAACAATGATTTTCGTAATCTGCGTACTCAGGTAGGCTCCTTTCAGGCGTACTCAAGGTAGTAAGAATGGATATGTTGTCAAGAATCAGAAAAAAAATGCCCGTGGGTGTCACATTTTGGTTTCCTATGTACCCGACTAGTGCACGAATACACGTATTTATCCCCCCACCCTTTCCCTCACGCGTCAAACGTCTTGAACTAAAAACAACAACATTAAAGGGGAAGAGGCAAAGACATTTGTAAACGTTTCAACAATTTTGAATGGGGATGTAGATGTCTGCGTTACCAATATGGTCGATGGTCGGTCGAATTCAATGCAAAACGCTCATGTGACCTTCTCTGGACGTCTGGATCCGTTTCTATTGAAACGAAAATGGGGTTTAAAAGAAAAAAGGTTTCTACTTTGCCTTTGTCAAATCAACAAGGACAAAAGCGTAAATTATATTGAAAGGTTTTTGTACCATAAAAAAATCATCGAAGAATTATATCATTTTATTTTTTGTCCACCTTTTGAGTGACCAGGAATATACCTGGATGTCGTGCACTGGAGGTGTCCGTTTGTTGAGAAGCTCCCTCAAGTGTGACACTCTGGTATTGCGTTGATGGACCTCCTAACGCGGATAGTAAACCAGGTCAAATCAAAATTAGAATTAAATATTTATTGACACTTCGTCTGTGCGGTCATAAACATCTTTAAAATACTTACCTGCTTGTAAAAAATAAACACGGAAACTCTTAAGCAATCATAAAAACCTCACTGCTTACTTCCGCGACATTTTTTAACCAGCAAATCATCAGGGCCCGGTTGCATAAAACGTCCGTAACAACTACGGGTACACGTACGTGCACTCGTAACTTAAGTCAGTTGCTTGAAATCACTTAAGTGGTCCACTTAGGGAATTCACTTAAGTGGTTGCTCTTACGATTTTCGTAAGTGTTCACTTAAGTGTCGTTTATGCAACAGAAATTGCGGGCGTTGCATAAAACGTTTTTTACGGGAAAAATAGCACGTAAATTTACGGGACCTCTGTTTTTACTAAATTTAACGAGATCTTTTACTGAGAAGTGGAAAAAAGTATTTTTGTTCACATAATTCGTTCTAATGCGCTTTGTTAACCTCTGATGTACACTTTTGTGAAAAAAGAAGAAGAACTATCATTTTCAGTAGATATTGAAGAAAAATAACGTTTGCATGCAAATTTCATTTTTTGAGAGGCTTAAAAGTGTTGGAAACGACTTTTAACTTTCTTTACACTCACCGATGGTTAGCTTAGAAAAAAAAAAGAGTGAATCGTTAATAAAGTACTATATGAAGGTTACGTGTGCCCTTAACTGAGCCCGTAAGTTATCACCTAAAACAGAAACTTACGAGAGTGCTGAGTGTGTTCCATGCAACACCCGTAAGTGTACCCATAACGGATTCATAAGTGTCCTACTTAAGTGAGCACTTAAGTGCAGGTTTTATGCAACCGGGCCCAGATCACTATAACAAAACAGGAACGCTCTTAGTAGCGTTGAGTCTCGCTTGCTTGGAGCCCAAGGGGCTTGGAGATAAGTTTTGCTGTCAAAGGCTGTGGTGGTGCTATGCTACTTTTTCGTTTAATGTAAATACTCAAAACGTAAAAATTGCAAGGAGAGACAGGCAGCACATCCGGCTTAGTTTCACACCGGCACCTGAAACCTTTAAAAACCTTTTACATATTGATAATGCTCCAGTGAGGAGAACTCTTTCAGGGAATTTAAACTCAAAACATTGAACGATGCATCACTGCGTGAAATAAGTAATTTAGTGGAATTTATAGGGTCACGATACTCCATGCCACTTAGCAAATCGTATATCGACAAAAAAGTCCCTGAAATGCAATGAAGTGCAATGCTGGGCCCGGTTGCATAAAACCTGCACTTAAGTGCTCACTTAAGTAGGTCACTTAGGAATCCGTTATGGGTACCCTTATGGGTGTTGCATGGAACGCACTTAACATTCTCGTAAGTTCCTGTTTTAGGTGATAACTTACGGGCTCACTTAAGGGCACAGGTAACTTTGATATTGTAAATTATTAATGATTTACTCTATTTTTTTAAAGCTAATCATAGGGGAGTGTAAAGAAAGTGTCTAGTCGTTTCGAACACTTTTAAGGCCTCTCATTGAAAAAAAATTTGCTTGCAATCGTTACTTTACTTCAATACGTACTGAAAATGATAGTTGTTCTTCTTTTTTCTCATCGCCGAATTTGTAGTGTACATCAGAGGTTAGCAACGCGCATTAGAACTAATAACGTAAAGGAATAATATTTTCTAATCCAACTAGGGGTATTTACTTTTTGATACACGTGCATAATTACACGAAAATCAAGGGCCTCGATTCGGGGAAAATTACATCATTGCAAAAAATGTGTTCAACTTATATGCGTCATTTCAGTCATCGTCGAAAGTAAACCGCATGCTCATCACGAGATCATTTGCATACAACGAAGGTCGTCACGATTCTTATCCCCAGTTTCCACGATCTCCGCCAGGAACGCGTGGCCTACAAACTAGGGAAGACCGACGAAAACAAAAAACGCCTGCATTTTTAGAGTCTCGCTCGCTCTGCTAAAGCAAGCTCGACTAATAAAGCCAATATTGCCAAAATACTGTCCAAATAGTACTTCACTCAGGGCCTCTCAAAACCTGAATTTCTCCTTACAAGTATGGGAAGACCAGCAGATAAGGCCTCCAGTGCTGTAAGTCCAAAACCTTCTGTTCTTGAAGGCATGCATGACAACTAGATCCACTTCACAAAACGACGTTTTCAAACTTTGCCGGTCTTTTAAAAAACTCCTGACAGTTAAGTCGGTCGCATGAATACCACACTTCAGGAAACGGTTTTTTACTTCCTCTAACTCTCCCTCCGGTACACCAACAAAAACTAGTTTAATGTTATCTAATGAAGCAACTGCTTCGGCTGCAAGATCAAATCCTTTCACTAAGAAGTCTTCTTCGTCTCTACGGCCAAAAAGAAGAATTTTGAATTTTCCTTTTCTTTCAGCAATCTGTTCAACTTCAAGAAACTCACTGAAAATACCGGGAGTAAAGTTGAACACCACGTCGTCCTTTTTACGCGAAGAAAGATAAGACCGAAAAGCTTAGTTTAACTTAGGACCAATAGAGACAGTATTAAGTTTGACAAAAAATATTCCTTTTGGCAATATTGAACCTATAGCCGTGAGCAGTCTATCATAAACTCCACTTATTTAAAGCCGTGACTTTTAAATTAAACAAAAAAGGTATACACGGATATATTTTTTAGAACTTATCCTTTTCATTGCGATCTTTTGAAAAGGTTCACAAGCCCTAGAGGCCTAAACTATCCTTTTTAGGTATTTTGGAGACAAGAAGGTGATCACAGGCAATAATAATGACCTTTGAAACTATTTTCTCAACATAGCAAGTTTTTATAAGGCAATTCCCTGATTAGCCATATCGGGCCCACTCCCCTAAACTGGAGGTGATTACATGTACAGCGGAAGTTGGTCAGGCACGATGTTTTGAGCATTGCGCACAGTACTCGGTAGCAAAAACGCAGTGTATTATCAATATTCGCTACAAATTCATTAAGGAAACACGGCTAAGGAATATTTCAACCAAAAATCGATTGCATTTGAAATAATATGCGTCAAAAAGGCCATCCCCTAAAGTGAATACAACAGTACTCACTTGTTTCAGTAAGGAAAAATTATCTTGTTCTTCTTTCTCTCCATTTCAAAGTGAGTACTGTGACTAAAGAGCTAAAAATTGCGTTTTCGCTGTAAATAAAAGCATCAAAGGATGCATTTACAGCAATTTTTTTCTTACCATCCCTAAGATGTTAAGATTCTATAAAAAAAGTACACATTATTAAGGTTTTAGAGTGAGTACTGTTGGTGCGTACTGTCCAGCTATGCAAATCAGTTCAAAGTAAACTCTTGCTTGTTTATTTAGTTCGTGACAAATATCACGCAACGTAATTTTTGCTAGCAAATAAACTCATAGAAATTTTAGCAACACTTTCAAACAAAAAATGATCCGGTACAATTCTCTAGAAGTAAGCGAAAAACTGCTTTGCCACGTACAAGGCCTGTTATGAAACAACCGCTTTTTTCTCACATCACAAAAGCATTTATAGCTCCTGTCGTATTTTTTTGTTGTACAAATAACAGATATATGTCTTCTTGGACTTTCAGGTGTGGGACAAACGGACAGCGACAACAAACGTAAATAAGTAGTACGTGTGTTATTTTCATGTCGTACAAAAACGAACTGAGAATAGACCTTATTCACGATACCCGTCATCTTTGCACGTGCTTAAGGATTGATGGGATAAATGCGATGTCACGTGGTTTCTCAGGGGGCAAACAAGTGAAAAAATTGCCAATGGAAGAAATCGCGGTTGAGTTTGTTTATCCTCGACAACAGGAAATGAAGACCTTTTCATCTTAAAGACGATAATGTCAAAATATGGGCGGAAGTAATCTTTGTTACCTTTTTGTGTGCGGTAGCGACCGTAGATGTCCTTATGGTAAACAGTAATGACGTAAATCTTGCCAAACTCGATATGTACATTTTGCATGAAATCGTCCTCTCGTTTCGATAGAATAAACAAACTTGACCTCGATTACTCGTATTGGCAAATTTTATCACTTGTTTGCCCCCTGAAATATACCACGTGCCATAGCTTTTATCCTATCGATCCTGGAGCGCGTGCGAGGATCGTGAATATGGTCTACTATTTTGTTGAAGGTTATTTAACGATTTGAACTCCCCTTTATCACAATTAAGAAACATCATACCTTGATCCTGCACACTTGAGATCTCCGTTTGTTGAGAAGCTCCCTGAAGTTTGACGCTCGGATGTGGCGTTGATCCATCTACTAACATGAATAGTAAATGGAGTCAAATCAAAATAAGAAACAATTGAAATAAACCCGTTCTGGTGGTTGGTAGGAGGATAATGCCCGCGGTTGAGAGATTTTGTTAAAAATAAACATTTGGCCGAAAGCGAAACTTAGAGGGCAAATTTGAAATTTTAAGAACAATGGTCGAAAACGTTTTAAGATTCAAGTCAGTTTCCAATGTTTACCAGGATATTTACCCCGAAACCGGGTCCAAGTTTTGTCTTCCTCGTTAGCGATTTTACCTGCATGCAACCGCAAACATGAAATTGATCAAAACCCAGAGAGAGCCCAACCTAAGGTATTCTCCCGAGGACAGCTTTACGGAAAAGGTCTAGTGTAACCACTCTTAAAAGGATACCAACTGCACTGTTCGAAATTATTAAAGTGGTCAAAAAAACGTTTCCAGTGGATTAGAAAAGAGAATCCAATCATGTCACTACCTGTCACAGCGACCGATCAGTGACATTGCAGGTTTTATGGTAATGTCGGACGGATCGGAAATAAAGAAAAGTAATCCAGAAAAGTAAACATCGAAGGATCCTAGGTTCGATCTCTCATGCGGTTAAATATTCTTACCTTGAACCAAACTGACCATTTTTCGAACAAGTATTTTACATTGTTCCTCCCAGCAGTAGGTTTCAGAATACGAAGAACGCAACGCCTGGGACTCCTTGAGTCGCTTATTCCTGTCTCTGTTCTGCAGGCCCTTGATAGCATTAGCCCAAGCTTGGACATCGTCTGAATCAACGACATAAAACGGTCCAAACAGTGCTTCACGGAGAGCTTGCCCAAAGCCTGAGTTTCCACTTACAAGGATGGGTAAGCCAGCAGAGAGAGCCTCGAGTCCTGTAAGTCCAAAACCTTCTGTTCTGGAAGGCATAATAGCGAGATCTACCTCACAAAATAAGTGTTTTAAACTTTCCCGGTCTTTTACAAAGCGTCTGACAGTTAATTTGTTGACATGGATTCCACACTGGAGAAAACGGTTTTTAACTTCCTCCAACTCCCCCTCCGGCGCACCAACAAAAACAAGTTCAATGTTATCTAATGAGGCTACTGCCTTGGCTGCGATATCAAACCCTTTAACTCTAAAGTCTTTCTCGTCTCCACGGCCAAAAAGAAGAACTCGAAATTTTCCTTCAATTTCAGGAACCTGTTCGACTCCAAGAAACTCCCTGAAAATACCAGGAGTAAAGACCATCTTGTCCTTCTTGCACGAAGAAAGGTAACGGCCGACAGCCTCGTTCAACTTTGGACCAATAGAGACAACAAAATCAGCCAGTTTACAAAGTTCAACCTCCGTTTCATGCTTCATTCCAGCAGCTGCTATTGGATCATCGTATGTTTTATGCATCCCGAGTTCTTCTGGTACTGTATGAACTACTTGAACCCATTTACATTTCTGTGACCTCTTTATAGCGTTTGCTTGGGGGCCAAACTTAATTCCATGACCAACGACAACGTCAATATGCAAATCATCGGGTAGAAAAAAAAGCCATTGAAGTTTCTCCTCACCTAGTTGACTTGTTGCCTCAACAAGTTTAATTTTGTGACCAAGAGCTGCTTTCTTGTCCTCGTCATTGCATTGTGGAACGAAAATGGTGACATCCACGCTGGAGTGTTGAGCTATGTTTATGGCTAACTCCCTGTTCATGGTTGACAACCCCCCTTTACTGGACCCCCACTCAGATGCCAGAAAAAGAACCCTCAATTTACCGCGAGGTGATGGAGACCCTCCATTTTCTTGATATTCTGTTGAATTCGACGCCATTGTTGAACTTGTATCTCAGTCCTAAAAAGGGATTTTTCATAATCTTATTTTGAAGGAAAACATTTGATATTTTTAAGATCAGAATTAAAAAGTTACGGTAAGAAAATGTCTCCCTTGGCGGTAGAATTCCAGGGTTCACTATTTTAAACGAGAGTTCCAGTAAACATTTTCGCACCACTTTAAAGAAAGATCCTTCTTCCATCTTTTACTCTATCCTTTGATAGCGGTTTCCCTATGGTTGGCAATTTAGTGCCACGGTAGTCATGAATGTAGAAAATCTAGGAAAATATGATAAATAATCGCTTGGAAACTCTGAATGAAGACAAACACGAACATCTGCTAGAAAGAGTCGGCCTGTGTAAATACCTTATTGCAAAGTTTGCAAGGAGAGCAGGAGAATCCCTGGGTACTCACTCCTAATGAACCAATTCGAGGACCATTTAATTTCGCTGCCCCTGATTTATCTGGCCAATCAGATAGCTTATCAGATGCTGGGGCGAGTGTTTAAAACGTAACGTCAATGGACCGGCATTACTAGCTGCTTACGTATGGCGAAAAAAAAAATTTAATTGCGGCTTAAAATCAGACGTTTCAGTTTACATCCGAACTTACGATCTACTGCATCTGGCCCCTTGTATTTCAGATACTTTTGGAAGTATAGTTAAACCTGAGAATACCGGTCACCCTCATCAAGTGGTTTAACACTTTTCTGAGCTATTTAATTTTTTTTCTGGCTACATCCCGATCCATCCCCAATTAAGTGTTTTATATCAACCACCAAGGCGTACTCGTTGTGCGAGGAAAACCGTTCACTACTGTCCTTTCGTTTCTAAACCCAGTGTCTGCAAGAGCTACGTAAAAATCGTAGAAAACTAAAGAACGAATATCGATATCACTAAGAATTCGTTTAGATCTCATCCACCATGCAGTAACGCTTGTCGTCGCATTCAAATTCTTTCTCTCATCTTCAGTGCATATCTACAAAGTTTCCTTTAATACTCACCCCCTGCCAAATTACTGCAGCTGCTTATGATGCATGGACAGGAACATATTTTTCCTTACCGTGAATGAAAATTGTACTCTGTTGGATACTCTTATGTTAGAATTTTCATGAATTCGTGTGAGTTTTATTATGCATAGAATCAGAAGAACAGTGTACCCAATCCTATTTTAGCTTGCTGATCAAAAAGTTTCAATTAACGCAGACTTGTCTTCCTGAATTTGTATGAAGGCCTTGCTCCCACATGGAACTATATAGTCAACAAGTCGAAATTGAATTACCACCGGCGTCGACGAAACTGAAGTCTGAGTCAGATTTTTTAAGATAGCATCTTTTTGGCAGCACTTTCGTGTTTTGTGTCACGCAAAGTGAGAGAAAAAGTGGCACATAGTTACATTTTCCCCCCGGGGGTACTTCCTTATATAAGTTATATAGGTACGTGCCGCCTTATCGGGTAGGGTTTTTGCGCCGTTTTGGTCTGAAAACGGGTATCCGGCGCTTTGCTTATTTTGGTCTCGAATCGGGTATTGGTTTTGAGGGAACTACGGGAGCGTATGAACGTACTTATCGTTTCAATTCCAACTGAGTAAGAAAGAAAGAGAAATATGCGAATTCGAAATAAGAATTTTTTTGTTTGCGCTCTAATCTCATAATTTCTGTCTAAAGGTAAGGTCTGAAAACGGGTGTGAAAAATTCCATTTTTGGGTCTGAAATAGGGTCAGAATTTGGAGAACCGGGCGGCACACTCAAACGAAGAATTCCCAGTAGTGCCTCCCGGATTTTTTTGTTCTAACTTTGTGGGATTATTTGACGCAGGCGACCAGTCACACAATACCGTTTACGTTTTTCATCGTTTTATGCTTGCTATCTACTGAATGAGTGAGCTGGGGCCCGTTTCTCGAAAGACCCAATAATTAACGGGCCCGGTAAGCTGTTGCCGTTTACATTAAAGACCGCGGTTTCAGTAGTTTTGCATCTAACATGATGAAACTATCAGTAAATGAAACAAAATGGAGTAGTTTTCTAGCCAGGACCCGCGCTCTTATTCTTTTTATTTGTATTTGAATATTTGATTTCGGGCCCGAAAAGTTACCGGACCTTTCGAGAAACGGGCCCCTGCTCCTGTAAGTGTGAGGGGAAGCGGGTTTTTACCTAATCCCCAGCACAAGAGATTGCGGCACTTAAATGAATTGTGCAAAAAGAGACTGGGCACTATTATGCTACGCTTATCTAGCAAAGCAGATATTTCTTATGACCACTGCACCAAAGTCGTTCCTAGAGTAATAACCAGCAAGAAACAATTCTGAAATGCTAACGATTTAAAATTTAAAGATAAAATTTTTTTACCACGAAATGTTCGTGGGAAAGCCACGAATAAATTACATTTGTTTGAAAAAAAAAAAAAAAAACAAGGAAAAAAACGGCTGACATTATGCTCAATAAAACTTGCTTGTCAACGAATTCTCTTTGTCTTGCTTGCATGAAACGGAAGTGCCGCCAGAAAAATCTGACTCGGACTTCAGTTTTGTCGTCTCCTTCAGGACTTTCCGCTGCAATAATTAAAAACGACCGGTAATATCTCAAGTACGCTGATTAACGGTGGTAATATTATTAATGACGATTTCACCTTGTTCTGTAGTAACAAGGCGTCCTAAGGAATTCAGCAAAGAAGTCCCGGGGGATCTCAGCAATGTTTTATATAGGGAGGCTCCGCCCCGAGGTCCAACCCCTTACCCTTTTATATACCATTTTTGACAGAAAAGGTACCTCTTCCGTATACCTTCTATTGGCAATAGTACCTCTGTCACATGCTTATTTTAGACCTTTGCATCCCTGCATCCCTCTTAACTGCGACGGTAAATGCACTGTCTTTCAAAAATGAATAAATCACAAAACCAGACCGTTTACTCAGCTCTTTTCACAGTCACTGGCAGTCTTTACATTAGAGCCTACATAAGCTAAGAAGAATTTCAAGACAAGTAAATTTTTAAATTCTTCAGGTAAAAGAAAGCTTCACACACAACCAGCACAACCGACTCTTTTTTTATACTTCAGGTTTACTTTATAAGCCTATTTTCCCTTGCAACATAATTAAGATTGATTGGCAGGATTCGCCTTTCTCAAAGCTCAAGAAACCGCAAGTCAGCTAGGTCAGATAAGTCGGTCATAAGGATGGTTTTAAAGTTTTGAGTCGCTTGAAAATTTCTTGAATTGTTTCAACTTTCCGAATTTAATGACATGCAAAGTAAAGTTACTTGAGATTTTACTTAGGCCTTCACACACAAATTTTTGGTTAAGCAAAACTTAGCAGCTCTTAATTCTTACTTAACAGCCTAATGTAAAGACAACCATTGTTGATAAAAATTCAAAGCTAACTTGAATCCTGGGGGGTACTCCCTAAAATGGCCTAAAGGCGGAGGCTCCACCTGAAAAAGTTACCATTTTAAGGCTTCAAGTATGTGACAAAGTTTAGATTTCACTTGTTGAAGTATACGAAAGGGCAGAGAAAACTGTTTCGGTTGGCAAAAAAGCCCAAAAAGGGCCAAATAGAGAGGACATAACACCAATTGTGGAGTCTAAAAGATCATAATAGAATAGCATAATACAACATCTCATTTTGGCGGTAATCACCCCATATTGGATGAGATCTAACAGTGACTTGCCTGTGATTTGACTTTGGCTCAGCCTCTGAAATGTTTCTCGCATTGATTGCTTTGTTAATGGTAGGTAATGTGTCAGTTATCTATTAACAATCCCATCGAAGTGATGTATTTTGCAGGAAAACGTCACATTAGATTTTCCTGCCAAGTTATGATGGGGGCAGTATCGAGGCAGTAATTTGCATAAATTAACCGCCAAACACACGATGCCTGTTTTGGAAACCAAAAGTCGTTAATCTGATCGATAACTAACTGTAAAACGTAAAAGAATACAATCTACAGGAACCATCCAACATTCTTGCTTAACATCGCCCCAATAACAAGATATTAAAGAAACATAGCAGCGAACAAAAGTTGCGAAAATTTACTATTTTGTCTCAGGTATATGGCATGCAAAAATGTATCGACTGTATCGAGTGCCCGCGGATTTTTAAGCATGAAATGGTTCACAAAGGGTGAAATATTTACATCCTGTTTCAATTTTGATGTAAATCGGAGGGCTAGTAAGAAAAAAAATGCGTTCAAAAATGTCTATTTTATTAGCCTTGTCAAAAAATGTTTCCCTCCCTTGTAAATGACAATGAAAAAGGGGTGGGGGCAGAGAAAAATTGACAACATTTTTATTGAGAGAAAGGGTGATTTGGAAAGGATGTTTTGCTATCATGTTAACAGATTTTTAACTGTTAGTCTGCTTTCTGGAATATTTACCTAACAAAACTCCAATTTTCAAGGAGAAAATTGTTCCAAAAAACGCAATTTTTGCCCAAACTTCCCCCCCCTCCTCCCGATGCCCAGTGCAGGTTTTTGTTAGAAGTGAAACAAATGCCACAGTAAGTAGTTTCATCTGAAGTAACAACTTCACA